TTCTCAGAAGGATCTAAAGCCTCCTGAGAACTTGGCAATCTCCCTGTAGATCCCCATCCTGATATTTCATCAACAGTTTCCACCCAAGTGGCTCTAGTATGAACCATCAATAGAAAAGACACTGGGGCACTGTTCATGCCTTTCCACCCATAGTGGGTTTACAAAATGGGTTTACCACTCCCTTGGAATGCTGTCACTCAGCCATTGTACAGCTATGGCAAACCTATAGCCAGATGACTCATGGAAATTTTTCTTTTTGTCTTTTTTTCCCCTTTGCCATGGAAACTTGTCAAATGTTTTCTGAAGGCATAACACTATGTCCCTTTGACAATACACTCGCAAATTGAAAACCAAAATAACACAAATCACATCAAATAGAGTCGTGTTGCCAAATGGAAAGGGGTTGGAATGGATGTACACACACCACACACACACGCACACACACATACACACACACAGAGAGAGACAGAGAGAGAGAGAGGATTTGTTTTTTCCTTTCAGTCTCTCTCACCTCAAAACCTATTTCTAGATCAAGGTATCTTAAAGAAAACCATGCCCTCCTACGCTCGGGCTTCACAGAGTCTGTGAATCATTTGAAATCCCAAGCCAAGTTTTCTATGTTAAAACATTAGCATTTCAGTGCAGAGGAGGTATATATTTCCACCAGTTTTCCAAGGGATTCAATTCAATGAAACCTTCAGAATGCTTCTGCAAAATCTGTCTTCACTCTCTCTGGATGTGGCAGTGTTTCTGGTTGCCTCCCAATAGCCATTCCACCTTCATCCGTAGTAACAGGAAACCCCAATTTATAACTGGGATTATAGCCATCCAGAATAAAGACTGCATTCCCAGCCTCCTTTGCAGCTAGGGGTGGCCATAGCTGCAAGATGTCTGATCTATAGACAGAATTCTTAGTGTTTAGTGTCCAGAAATTTTTATGAAAGAGATTTGTCTTTGCTTTTTTTTCCTTCCTTCCTTCCTTCCTTCCTTCCTTCCTTCCTTCCTTCCTTCTTGCTGGCTGCAATGTGGACATGATGGCTGGAATGTGGACAAGTGACTTTCTGATTCATGAGGTAGCTTTGGGAATAGAGCCCATATGGATAAAGCACTAGGATAGAAGGGCTCTCCAGCCTGAGGACATGGTGGAAGAGGGACACATGTTAGCCTCAGATAGAATCTCCCTGGACTTCAACATTAAGAGGAAATAAATTTCTCTCTTGTTTCAGCCACTGTTATTTTGACTGTCTGTTGTTTGCAGCTACGCTACTCCCAACTCAAATTCGGAGTGAAGCTAAGACAGTCCCCAGAAGGAATATCTTGTTAATCTCTCCTTCTCCATCTGTATACATCCTCCCCAGCCCCTCCAGTCTTCCTCCCGCTCCCGGAACAAAGCTTGAGACCGCTGTCAGCTGAACGCTCCTAAGAGCTGTCACTCCTAAGAGCTGTCACTCCCAGACCCAGAAAGAGCTGTTTTCAAAGCAGTTGTATGGCATCAAAGTCACCAACTGGTCAAACCGGCTTCTGTTCTGACCTCAGAGGTATCTGGGAGAGGGGCCTCAAGATGACAGATCTTCCAGCTCTCCCTTTTCCAAAGATCTCAGAGCTACCCTCTGTCTAAGGGGCTCATGATGGAATTCTTCATAAATGCTCCAAACTGAAAGGAACATGTACCACTTTCCCAGCCAGGCTCTACACAGAGGAGGCAGAATGATTTACCCCTTAGAATAATATTAGCACTGGGAAAGTACTAATAACTTGGTTATTTCTTAATTATATGCCAAACAAGGGGTAGATTACTCGTGAGCTTTCCAGGAATTGGGGAGGGGGCAATTCCAGAACTGAGGGTTCCTCCCCTTTTCAGACCATGGAGGTCTAAACATAACTTCCTTACGTTGCCATGGCATCTAAACTGTGATGACCCTGGTGGGAGTGTCTTTTAGCATGCTAATACATTATACTTAGCAAAAAAGGAGCGGTGATGACCTGAGGTGACTCATTGCCATTTTGGCTCTGCTGGGTTTCGGCCGGCCGGCTTCTTTACTGCGGTCTCTTTTATCAGCAAGGTCTTTGTGACCTGTATCTTGTGCTGACCTCCTATCTCATCCTGTGACAGACTTCCTGGGAATGTAGCCCAACAGGTCTTAGCCTTATTTTATCCAGCCCCTATTCAAGATGGAATTGCTGTGGTTCAAATGCCACTGACGGCATCTGAAATTCTTTTTATTGCTTATGTTGTGGACCCCAAAAATCCGAGACAGGTGTCAGTGAATTTAGAAAGTTTATTTTGCCAAGGTTGAAGACACGCACCTGTGACACAGCCTCAGGAGGTCTTGGTGACGTGCGCTCGAGGTGGTCGGGCACAGCTTGGTTTTATACACTTTAGGGAGACACGAGACATCAATCAATATGTGTAAGATGGACATTGGTTCAGTCCGGAAAGGTGGGACCACCAGAGGAGAGGGCAGAACCACTCGAAGCGGGGATGTGGGGGCTTCCAGGTCATAGGTGGATAAGATACAAATGGTTGCATTCTTCCTTTTTTTTTTTAAACAGAGCCTCACTCTGTCGCCCAGGCTGGAGTGCAATGGTGTGATCTCAGCTCACTGCACTGCAACCTCCACCTCCCAGGTTCAAGCCATTCTCCTCGGCTAGTGCTTTCCAAGTGAGAACGTAACAATTATGGAATGAATGAATCCATGAGTAAATGAACAGACTGTCTCCCACTCCCCACATCTGCTCCTTCTCACATGTTCACTGAGTGGCACCACCATTCACCCTGTTGAAAAGTCTGAAAACCAAGACATGCATTTGATGCAAACTTCTCTTCCCCTCTCATCACAATCAGCAGTCAAAATGCTCCTGCTTCTTTAATAGACCATGCTTATATCCACGCCTTACTGCTCAGCCAACAACATAGCCAAGGTTGCCATTTCCCTGGGGCCACTATAGCAGCCTCCTAGCTTGTCTCCATAAAACCGCCAAAAGATCTTCTCCAAAAGCAGGTGGTGATTTTCCCAGAACTCAGTTCTCATCACAGCACTCTCCTCCTCCAAACAGTTCAGGAGTTCTTCAATGTGCTCAGGACAAAGTCTGACCCCTTACTGGAGTCTGCAAGGTCCAGTGTGATCTAGGGCACACCCACCTCCCTGACCATTTCCTCTTATAATCAATGCTGACGTTTACTGAGGGAGTTAGGTCTTAGGATCATCTTCATTTTACAGAAGACAAGACAGAGGTTCAGAGAAACTAAGTTCCGTGCCCAGAGCAGCAGAGCCAACGGGATTCAAATTCAGATCTGGTTGAGTTCCTTCCCACTATGTTTTACCGTCTTTCTTAAGTGGGAAATAGCAACCCTGTCGCTTTCTGAAAACTCTGGTTGGTTGAGATATTGGTTCCCTGAACAGGGAATAAGTATTTGGACCATGAAACATCTCAGAAGCCTTGATTTAGGTTCAGGTATAAGAAATAGAGCCCTTGAAAACCTGGGTGGGGATGTCCCTCCTTGAGGATGGGTGGAGAGAGGGCAGGATGATCCTCTCTGTCCCATAGCTGAGCCCTGACTCTTGTTGGGGGCACTTGCAGCTGAGATCAGCTGTCATTAAGTTTTGGAGACTCCCACCCCCTGCCCTAGCCCCAAGTGGCTTTCACATCAGTGACATGTAAGGATCTTCTGATCAACGCAGTGACAGCTCCTCCCAGGCAGCTGCCACTCTCCCAGATGTCAACGTGTTCCTTGTGTCATTTGTTCAGCTGAGAAAGTCTAGAAGGGCTGAAGAAGCTTTCAGAGAAAGAAGCCTGGAAAGAAGGTGGCGGAAGAGGTGGTCCAGTGACCTGAAGCTCTGCTGTGTTCTGCTGGTAGATCTGGGTTTGGAAGGCCAGTGCTCTGGCTGGGCATACACCAGGGGCCAGGTGGCACAGGCTTCCCTGGCAGCTGAAAGCACAGGCTTTGCAGCCAGTCATCCCGGATCTGATTCTGTGCCTTAGATTGTTCAACCGTAAAATGTAGTTAACAGCAGGACTCTACCTCCAAGGGTTGTTATGAGGATTAAAAGAGACACAACATATAGGGCATTTAGCAGAGCTTGGTATGGGATAGTTCTCAAATAATGGTGGGTATCATCGCTGTCATTTTGTTGCTGTTATTCACAGAGTCACATAGTGGTTAAGAATACAGACTGGAGCCAGACTGCCTAGATGTGAATCCCAGCTTTGCCACTTAGTAGCTGTGTGACCTTGGGCAAGTTATTTAACCATTTCTGTGCTTTGATGTTGTCATCTATGAATGGGGATAATAATGTCTATCTTAGAGCAATTCAGGTGAGGATTAAATAGGTTGATACATGCAAAGCATTTACAACTGGTACACAATGTTAAATATGTGTTTATTATTCTTACTACTATTACTACTGCTATCGTTACGATTTGCAGAGGTGGTCAGGGAAAGCAATTCCTGTTTATTTTATTTTATTTATTCATTCTTGCTGGGCTGTGTGGCAGAGAAAAGAGGCGTGGACTTGAAGTTCAGACAGACCTGGGGTCAGAATCCATAAGCTGGTGGCCTCAGGCAGGTCACCTCATGTCTTGTGCCTCAGTTTCCTCATTTGTAAAAAGGAAATAATGATAGTATAAAACCTCCAGGGGGCTGTGGTGAACATTAAAAAGAGGATGTTTGGGAAATCTTGGTCCCTGGCACCTTCAATGGTCTGCAGAAATCCTAGTTAATATTCTGATGTTGGCCAGGAGCAGGGGCTCATGCCTATAATGCCAGCACTTTGGGAGGCCAAGGCAGGCAGATCACCTGAGGCTGGAAGTTCAAGACCAGCCTGACCAACATAGAGAAACCCCGTCTCTACTAAAAATACAGAATTAGCTGGGCATGGTGGTGTAGGCCTGTAATCCCGGCTACTGGGGAGGCTAAGGCAGAATAGCTTGAACCAGGGAGGCGGAGGTTGCAGTGAGCTGAGATCGCACTATTGCACTCCAGCCTGGGCAACAAGAACCAAACTCCATCTCAAAATATATATATATATTTTCTTCTGATGTTATTACTGCATGTAGAGTCTACCCAGTGGGGAGCTGGGCAAATCAGACCGGGGGTTGCTGATACGATATCATCTACTCATCCAAGATACGCTGGGCTTCTACAGTGCAGCAGGCACCCTCTGGGCACTGGGGATACCTCCATGAACAGGACACTCAAGGGTCCTGCTGTCACGGAGCCGAACGTGCTGGAAATTCCATTAGCATTATCTTAGGGGGTCTGAGAAACAAAAGGAATAAAAAGGCGTGAGCATGCTTACTTCCTATTTTCTGGAATCCAGGGCCACCCAACAGAACCAACTCAGAGACGGAGACGGGTCTTCAGAACGTGGGGAGGGGCTGGGGGCTGGGAATCCCCTAGGGGCGGGTGGGAACTTATCTTTCTTACTATATTGAAAAGAAAAGGCACAGAACCTGAAAGCTGTGTCTTTGCCCTACTTTGTCCCAGCACCACCTGTGTGACTTCAGACCACCCCTTCCCTGCTGCTGGGCCCCAGTTCTTACCCTCCTCCTGGGCTGTTTTGAGAATGAATAGCGGTGTGCCCCTGAAAGAAAGCTCTAAGAGGGTGGCAGCCAACAGGAACTTGGTTCTGGTTCCCAGGATCTACCATCCTTCCCCTGCACCACAGCCCCCTCTACGGTCTCTTCTTCCCCGGCAGGACCAGCCTGGAGGCCCCTTCTCCTCTGGACCTCTCCTGAGCCTGGAGTCATATTTTCACCTGACTGGTGACAGCCCATGGGGTTTAGTGACTGCTTTCTTCGTGTGTTAGCTGACTCCTCACCGGGTGGCCGGGGCAGCAGGAGCAGCTGCGTCCCTCCTCAGCTTCCTGAAACGAAAGGCTGCCAGACCTAGGAATGCAATGAGAGCCCAAGGGGGAACAGGACACCAGGCAGTGTGGAAGGATCACGGGGCAGAACTTGGCCAATATTGTCCCATACTGGTTGTTGCCATGCACTCCACTCCCAAGTCCCACTGGCTTGGATTCTAATCCTTGGTCAGCTGCGTGGTCCAGGACAGGTGGCTTCACCTCTCTGAACCACAAGGATTCCATGATGGATAAAACTGTTGACCACAGGGCCGGGCACATGGTTAGTGTTCAATAAATGTGAGCCATGACTCTGATTTCAGAGGAAGTGTAGCAGATGAGTCAAGAGCCAAACTGCCCAGGTTCGAATCGCAGGTCTGTCACTGACAGAAGCGAATCAGATAATCTCTCTGTGCCTCAGTTTCTTCATCTCTAAAATGGATTTAATAAAACATCCTTCCCACCGGGCATGGTGGCTCATGCCTGTAATCCCAGCGCTTTGGGAGGCCAAGGTGAGTGGATCACCTGAGTTCAGGAGTTTGAGACCAACCTGGCCAACATGATGAGACACTGTCTCTACTAAAAATACAAAAAATTAGCCAAGCATGGTGGCAGGTGCCTGTAATCCCAGCTACTGGGGAGGCTGAGGCACGAGAATCACTTAAGCCCAGGAGGCAGAGGTTGCACCAAGCCGAGATTGCACCACTTCACTCCAGTCTGGGCAACAAGAGCGAAACTCCATGTCAAAATAAATAAATGTTAAATAAATAAAACATCCTCCCTCACAGGATTGTGGGGAGAAGTACAAGAGTTCAGACACATACATTAAAAGCGCTCAGAACAAAAGCTGGCACTGGGCAAGTGTCCCATAAATGCGAATGGTTGTTATTTCTATTTTCTACCTTTGCGTCCTCCCTTTCCTCCCCCTCATCCTTGAATGAGAAGGTGGATTAAGTCATCTCAGTTCAGTTCCCTGCTCTCTCACCAGGCTTCCCCTCCTTCCGGGTCTCCTGGTCCCAACTGAGCCTTGTTTTAGGCAGAGGAGTCCTCTGGAGGTTTTGGGGTGGCCTGGGAAGGGAGGAAAAGAGGAGTTTCTTCCTGAACACACCCACCGGCAGACTCGCGGTAAATAAACACAGCCCCTTCCGCACCTAAGCACACACTCACCCCAGCGCCCACTCAGATCCATATACAAACTCACTCCACCCTGTCCCACCCACTCAGAAACCTCACTCCAGCCCCTGCCCAGGTCCCAGGCAGGACCAGATTTCTCCGGTGCATCATGCGAATGATCCCCATAACTGGCTTCCAACTCAGCCGGCCCCGCCCAGCTGTAATTACAGAGAGAGCTGAGGCTTCTGTGCCCAGCCATGACGTCAGCCCGCAGCTTCCAGCCTGATGAGCTCACCCCACATCCAGTGGGGGCTCAGTCACTCAGGACATGTCCCACCATGGGGTCTTGATCATTCTTTCTCAGCTGGGGAGGAGGGCAGTTGTCTTTGTCTGTCTGCTCAGCACAGATCTGGGATTCAGAGCAACTCAGGTTCCCTACCAGGCACTGCCACTCCATCTGTGTACAAGGGCCAAGGCTCTGCGCCTCTATTTTTTCACCTGCAAAATGGGGGTGATGATAATAGTGACGTTTAACTACCTAGTGAGGGTTTAACTCTCACTCTATAATGTCTGAAATGTACTAACTCCAGAAGCAGATGCACAGAGAGCAATGGACGACAGTGATTTTCTTCATATTATTATTTTTAGCAAACTGCCTCATGCAGGCACTGTTTAATAGCAAAATAATTTCTCAACCTATGACTCACTGAATTCCTTAAAATCCTCAACTTACCCTCATATCATGAAGAAAGCAGGGCTGAGACCCCAAAGCCCACAGAGGGAAAATGACATGCCCTAAATTGTCTACCTGGTGGGGACAGATTTCAAAGATTAAAACCCAAGCCCAAAAGGCCTCCAGGCCAAAGGAAGATTTGTGAATTCATTTTTCCAGCTGCATGGGAGGAGCAGGAAAGTCTAGATTTGGGACTTTGAGTTTCAGACCAGACATCTGCCTGAGTATAACACCTTTGGATAATTATCGGTATTAACAGTGATAATAATAGAAGACATTGTTCATGAACACATCTATGGTAGTTTTTCCATCTGTAAAATGGGATAATACTGGTACTCTTACCTCACAGGATAGTTGGTGAGGATTACATGAGTTCATATTTATAAAGTCCATTGAACAGGGCCTGGCCTGTAGCAAACATTATGTAATTGATAACTCAAAATTGAAAATGCAAAGGTGCTCATCAGACTGCTGGGTGCTGGAAGAGAATTAGCTCATGTATTCCTCATGGCAGGTCTGCGAGTTGGCTACTATGATGTCCATTTATAAGGAGGAAAACTGACAACTTGGAGGTGCCCAGGAATAATGTTACTGCCGATAAAGATGCTTTGCTTGACCAAACATTAATCAGATTCCTGAATCTTCTCCTAAGCCCATCTGTGCAGTCGTTTATAAAAATTCAGTTTTGGCACAAACTCTGCTAAGTCTGTTTAACAGCAATCACCCATCTTCGATTTCTGATCACCCTCAATATCTGATTAGTTTCCTCATCCTCTACCATCCCCCAGGTGATGTCTGAGCACCCTGGCCTGTCTTCAGCAAGAATCCTCTTAGGTTAGTTGAGCCAGAATCACCCTGACCCCTGGACCTTCCTCCTGGTAATTTTCCATTCGCTGACCCTCCCACCTGCTTCTTGGATACAAATTCCCACTTACCCATGACCTACTGGGTGTCGAGTCTAATCTTTCTCCCTCACTGCAAAATCCCATTTCTGGGATCCCTGCATTTATGGAGAAAGTTCCCCTGCCCAGTAAAGTCTTGTTTATCATACTTTAACAAGGTTCATACGCAAATATATATACATATACACATTTTAAAAACATTTTTATCTTTTAAAAACATTTTATTCTTACTTATCATACTTTAACAAGTGTCACATGAATATATATGTGTATATATGTATAAATACATTTTTAAAAACTTTTTTTTCACCACTCTCCCCGGAGGGCATTGAGGCTCTAGGAGTTTGGCCACCTTATAAGTGGGGATTCCAACTCGGGGCCATCCTTCAAATCCACTGAGCTCCTGTCTCTCTCTTTCCCTTCTGCAGGTCCCCAGGGGAAAGGCAGGATACAACACGCTCTGGAGAAGGTATTTCCAGAGGGTGACCTGAGCCCTCAGCCAGGCTAGGGGTTATTAATAGCCAGGCCTTGGTGCCTTGCTTGTGGTGGGCGGCTCCAGCTCCCGGAGCGAGCAGAGGGCGGAGCTGAGCAGAGTGGCCAGGGGAGGAGTGTCTGGAGAGGCTGGCTGAACTTGGACGCGGCCCCTCCCAGCCAGCCCAGCTGTTCCCTCTGTGGATTCTCCGGGGCTGGTTCATCACCTCCGAATACTCCTGTGACAGGAGACGCTTGCAAAACCCGCCTCCAGCCTCCAGCAGCAAATAAATAGAAGGCTTGCAACCCAGAAGGAGCCAGAAGAAGTTTCTAGGCGCGCGTGCCCTGGGTTTATTAAGCTCCTGGCTCCACTCTAGACCTCAGCGGCTCTGGCTGCAAGCCTGGGCGGTCTGGGAGGACAGTGGCTTGCTGGTCTGTCGTGAGGCAGTGCAGAGAAGGGCCCTCTGGCATTCTGCTGGACCCGCCTAAGGGTCACCTTTGGGGGCTGGGACCCCAGCCTAGGGGGCACAACCGTCCCTGGCAGCGGTTGGTTCTGCTTCTCCCTGCAGAAGAGCAGCGTTTTCAGAAGCTGAAAAAGAAGCCAGCCCAGCCACACCATCTTGTTGTGTGACCTTGGGAAGGTGGTTCCGTCTCTCTGAGCCTCTGTTTCCCTCTGAGCTCAGCAGCCACCATGGCTGACGGTCAGATGCCCTTCTCCTGCCACTACCCAAGCCGCCTGCGCCGAGACCCCTTCCGGGACTCTCCCCTCTCCTCTCGCCTGCTGGATGATGGCTTTGGTATGGACCCCTTCCCAGACGACTTGACGGCCCCTTGGCCCGACTGGGCTCTGCCTCGTCTCTCCTCAGCCTGGCCAGGCACCCTAAGGTCAGGCATGGTGCCCCGGGGCCCCACTGCCACCGCCAGGTTTGGGGTGCCTGCCGAGGGCAGGACCCCCCCACCCTTTCCTGGGGAGCCCTGGAAAGTGTGTGTGAATGTGCACAGCTTCAAGCCGGAGGAGTTGATGGTGAAGACCAAAGATGGATACGTGGAGGTGTCTGGTGAGTCGGGGGCAGGTGGCAGAGGCGACCGGGGAGGGGGTGTAGGCCTCAGCCTTGGGAGTAGCCAAGAGAAAGTTTCCTGAGAGCAGATGCTGTGACAGTGTGACCCAGGTGACCTCAGGGCTCAGGAATGCAGCCTGCAAAGTTATCTTTATGGAAAAGATCTCCTTTCCTGGCTCCCTGGAGAGAACTTAACCTGCCCGACTCAGCTTTTAGGGCCTTTGGGTGCTGATCAATCAGGGTACAGGCAGGAAAATGAAACCGTGTTGGACATTTTGACAGAGAGCATTTAATAGAAAGAATAGAATAAGCAGATGTTAAAGAATTAAAACACAAAGAAGAAATGGGATTTGGTGCACTCCAGCCTCACAACACAGGGTCTAGAAGTACACATTAAGGCAGAACAGTGATAGTGTTAATAACCACAACTGGCTTCCTGTGAAACACCTCTCCTTGTCCCAGACAAGGAAACTGAGGCTTACCAGTAATTATAACACTAACTGGTAACTTTGAGTGCGAACTACGTGTTCAGCACCTTGCTAAGTGCTGTTGCCTATAACATCTCAGCTAACACAACAACCAGAGGAGGTGGGTACTGTTTATCTTCTCTTTTTGCAGATGAGGAAACCGAGGCACAGAGAGATTGAAGTAACTTGTTCAAGGCCACCAAGGATTCAGACCCAGGCTATCTAAGAATTAGGAGGCCAGAAAGAAGTGATGATTTACTGAACACCTACTGGGTACCAAGGACTGGGCTAAAATCCTTAGACTTCTCCAAAATCATCCTCAGACCAGCCCAGAGTAGCAGGGGTGGCTAGGCCCATCTTGCAGTGATGAGGCTGAGGCCTGGGTGGGACTTACTCACAGTCATGCCATGAGTCAGCAAGAAGACGGGAGTAGGGACTGTACCTGTCCACAGCTTTAGGCCAGGACTGTTATTGCAGCATCCCACCCTGGGAGAAAGAAGCATACTAGGGGGGAAAAAGAGAGAAGACAGGAAGCTCAGCCCCTGTGAAGCTGGGCAGCAGAAAATGCTCTCTTTTCCTTCCCTCCCGATTTACAGTTAATACTCCATTACAAAGATTGTCTTCCCGGCAGAGGCTTGCCTTCCAGAAAGTCAATTAAAGCCACTGCAAACAAAGGCTTGGCAGGAACAAGCCCTAGCAGCATTCAGGGAGAGTTTCAAGCCAGTCACGGCAGAATTATAAACATCAGAGGCTCTGGCGGGTGTGGTGGGCCGGGAGACACGCTGGGGCCACGTGCTGGCGGACAGGGTCAGCCAGATCTCTGAGTTGGCTGGGAAGCCAGGCACGAGATCCGAGAATTTGGCTCCAACTCTAAACAGCAGGATGTGCAAATTACTTCACTTCTTTGTGCTTCTGTTTTGTTTTCTCTTCCGGAAATTAGGGTTCAAATAGTTATACCATAAGGGTTGTTGTATTAAATGAGGTGATGCTGTAAAATGTGTACATACCTGTGAACCCAGAAAATCTGAGACAGATCTCAGTTAATTTAGGAAGTTTATTTTGCCAAGGTCGAGAACACGCCTGTGACACAGCCTCAGGAAGTCCCGATGACACATGCCCAAGGTGGTCCAGGCACAGCTTAATTTTATACATTTTTAGGGAGACGTGAGACATCAGTCGATACACGTAAGAAGTACATTGGTTCTATCTGGAAAGGCGGGACAACAGGAAGCAAAGACAGGAAGACCTGAAGCAGGGAGGGGGCTTCCAGGTCACAGAGAGGTGAGAGACAGACGACTGCATTCTTTTGAGTTTCTTTTTTTTTCT